CGAAAACCTGCAGCAGTGGGCTCTAGAAGTGGAGAAGCTGGTGCGAAAAGCATACCGGTCTGTACCTGCGCTCATTGAAGGGAACCTGGTGCAGACATTCATCGACGGCATCCGCGACCTGGAAGTCAGAGCTGCTGTGAGGCTCGGGCACCACGAGACGCTTAAGAACGCCTTGGCCCATGCACTGGAAGTGGAAGCCGTGCGGCAGGATCATCGTTCCCATCGCGTCAGGGAGGTTGCGGCAGCTACAGTTCGCGACCGCAACAAAGGATACAGCCCTAGGTGCTATGGCTGTGGGGAAAAAGGCCATCTTCGAATCAGCTGCCCTAAGCGAACCGTGGAAAGGAGAGTTGATCGATCTCGAGAGGGTAGTGCAGCTAACGACACTGCCTGGCGGCGACAGGATCATCGTTCACCTCACGCTAGGGAGGTTACAGCAGTTACGGCGCGACCACAATAAAAGATACAGCCCTAGGTGCTATGGCTGTGGGGAAAGGGGCCATCTTCGGTCCAGCTACCCTGAGCACACCCTACGAAGGGAAGGTGAACGGTCTCAGAAAGGAAGTGCGGCTAACAGCACCGCCCAGCAGCAGCAGGAATACGACTTTACTATCAGACACTGCAGCGGGAAATCTCACGGCAACGCAGATGCATTGTCAAGAAGACCTTGTCCTGAAGATTGCAACCATTGTAGTAAGCAAGAGAGTAAGGAGGTGGTATCCGTGAGGATGCTCAGGACAGACCACCTCAGCAACGGGTGGAAGGACAACCTACGACATGCACAGCAGGAAGATCCGGACATCAAGCCGATTCTGGGATGGATGAAGGCCCGTGCTACCAAGCCTAAGTGGAGGGACGTCTCAGCGATGAGTTCAACCACGAAAAGCTATTGGGCCCAATGGGACAGCTTGCTGATTCAGGATGGTGTCCTGTGCCGTAAATGGGACAATGGTCGAAGAGACAGCTGTCGTTTGCAAATGGTTGTCCCTAAAGCTAAAGTGCCGAACGTTCTACAGTTGTGCCATAATGGTCGTTCAAGAGTCCATCTGGGAGTTAAACGAACTCTACTGAAGGTCCGAGAACAGTTTTACTGGGTCCATTATCGTGACGATGTCGAGGATTGGTGTCGTACATGTACAAGTTGTGCGGCCGAGCGGGGACCTCGGACACGTAGTAGAGGAGCACCAAAATTGTACAATGTTGGTGCACCACGGGATAGGACAGCCCTTGACATTGCGGAGCCGTTACAGAAAGGCGCAAGAGGGACTCCTAAGATCGTCCATGTGAATCGCTTGGCGCGTTATTATGGGGCCGATAATGCTCGGGACGAGCATGTCTTAGGAGGGGGCAGTGTTACGCGCTCCAGTCAACGATACACTAGCGCCATCTAGTGTCAGGAACGAGAGCGAGGGAGCATTGAGAAAATGACATCACAAATCGCTCAACTGACAGCGCCTAGTCGAAACTCGAACGCTCGGTACCTTCCGCGTGTTTACTTGAACATTCTGGATATTTCTTTGCTAATTTAAATATATAGGCGCTGCAAGATGCGATGGAGGCAGTGTTGATTTGGGCGAAACAAGCGAAGCTTCGGAGTGGAATTAAGTGAATTAGTGTGTTTAAATTATTGGTGTTTTAACTTTAATTGTGTAAAGTAAATTAAAGTGTTAATTTAGGTAATTTTATCGGCAATTTTTATTGTCACGAACCTCAAGCTCGTAACAATATTAATTGCGCAGAATCTAGTCTACATATCACATAACATCGTAAATATTTACTCGGAATCATGGACGTCGTTTTCTCACAACCTTCTGTCTTAACACGTATAAACCGATGTTAAACTGTAATTGTGTGTTTAAATTATTGGTGTTTTAACTTTAATTGTGTAAAGTAAATTAAAGTGTTAATTTAGGTAATCTTTATCGGCAATTTTTATTGTCACGAACCTCAAGCTCGTAACAATATTAATTGCGCAGAATCTAGTCTACATATCACATAACATCGTAAATATTTACTCGGAATCATGGACGTCGTTTTCTCACAACCTTCTGTCTTAACACGTAAAACCGATGTTAAACTGTAAAGCATAAAATTTGCTTTAACTGTGTGTTAATATTTAAATATAACGAACAACAACTTATTATAATTATAAAAAATGGAATAGCCAGCGCCCACATGGCAAAAAAACAACGTATGGGAAAGAATAATTCTCGTGCTACACGTCTCGAACGGGCAAGCAGAACGTAGGACACATTACACAGTCTTTGAAGAAAGCCATCGTTCAGCTGTGGGCTTATTATGGTCTGTAATGATTTTGATCAAGAAAAAATTGTCTCTATAGAATCTTAATAATTCGAGTTTAAAAAATATATAAATCAAGAGAACTATATTACTTAATAAAACTATTATTAGTTTTTTATGACTGTAGATTGTTCTTGGAAATAATTGATCTTTAGAATAGAATCATTTTAATTCAACATAGATTGCAATACTTATTGAAGGTCATTGAAGCTTTACCACTGCATCCAGCAGCAAGAAACCCAACGGGACGTTTTAAAAATAATAATTTACCATACAATTTTTTATACAATTAGTAGGAAAACATTAAGAAACAACGTCGTAGCGATCACCTCATTCCAAGGTGTTACTACTAATTATGTACTCTTTAGTATAAGTACAATATAAAAAGTTAATAACATTTACTAAATAATTTTTGCTTAGTAAAAATTTTAAATATTTTGGATAAATAAAGTCTGCATATTTTCTTTAGTGATATTCTTATAATATGTTTTTATAAGATATATAAGATAATAGTAATTCTCTTATTATATACTCTTATTACGTACTCTCTTAAAGATAAATTACACGTACTTCCTGTGAAGGTAGAATCTGTTACATCTCTTCCACTACCGGTACAGAGAGTTGTTGTTTTGTCAACTGTTCAGCCCTTAGTAAGTTCTGAAAAACCTCCCCCAGATATGGTTGAAAATATTGTAATGATTTCTGTAGTGGAACCGTCTGATGAAGCTATACAGCCAGTTCAGCCGTTCCCTGCGATACCAGGTGCGCGAAAGGTACCATCTGCATCAACTGAAAATACTAGGTACCACATTACCTACGAGTATTTGTGAGTTCTGCGATGCCCAACGCATGCAACTTGCAAGTCCATTCGTCGGAAATTGCGATGATTAGCTCAAAATAAACGACGAATAAACCTTAAATAGGATTCCTAACAAAAATGTGATTAGTTAAAGATCTTGTTAGTAAACAAAGTTTTATTTTCAGTATTTTGTGTTATCATAACTTAAAATATTTTAATTACAAAAGACAAGTATGGTAATCCAAGTAGATACTTGGATAGTGAAGTAAATTTCAACTAAGTTTGGTAATAAAGTACCTACGTAGGTATTACTTTTGTGGATAAATTATTACTTAATTCTTTTTTGCTATATGTACCTAAACATGAAATAAATTCACCTTTCAAAACTTCCTACAAAAATGCTTAAGTACCTTAAAGAATAATATATCTGAAACCATTTGTTGGTCATTTAGCATCTATCCACGCAACAGTCGTAGTAGGAACGAATTTTTGCCATTAAAATTGATCAAACAGGTAAAACGCATAATATATATCATTTTTAAATACCATTAAAACTTTTCAACTGTTTTATCCTACAACTAAATATACCAAACAAAAATTATTTCAACAAGGATTAACAAAAAACTATTTACGTAAACAGTGTTTAAAAACTTTAGCATTCAATTGCCTACAACGCGCTAACCCCGACTGCGTTTGCCCTGGGTGCCTCGGGATTGTAGGTAATTATTTCTCACAGGTAGCAAGAGTGACTGAGGGCTGATATGTCCGGTATTCTGATAGGAGAATGGAGATGGCAGTATGAGCTTATGAAGCTCATGGGCACATTACCTAAGTACAAAGTCTATCGAAGCCTTTGGATCTGTTTTCTATAAAAAAGTAAGTCAGTCCATTTGCTTAGCATGCCGCACGATGCCACAAGATCCTTCGGCATGCCGAAGTATGCTTTTCACGCCATGCGATACCGTGCCGTCTGTGAGTTCAAGCCCTAAGCCGTTACATAATAGTTTTAAAAATGTTGTTACATTGAAAATATTTATTTAATTCATGGTGTTCATGAGTTCGTTGTGTTAATTTAAGTTGTAATATGCTAATCAAATAATGGCACAAAATTTAGCAGGTTTTTCGTTCATGTTGGACATCTAGCCAGTTGTTCTTAAAGTATCAAATGATGGTTATTCATACATTAAATTGTATTTAAACCAAAATTATTAAGTTGCACTGAAATTAAAAATACTATTTTGTTTCAAATATTTATTAAAAATGCTTCATAAAATATTCAAATTACAAAAATTGAATTAAAAATATATTATTATCTATCTATTTACATGCTCTAATTGTAACTTACCTATTAACTTAGATCATTCAATATTAAAAAAAGAAACCATTAAAAGGATAAATAATAATATTAATAGAAAAAGTTTAGAAAATAAATATGCATATAACTTCAATACATTCATAACGTGATACAAACTTAACATAACGATTTTAAATCATCGTCATTGTAACTTAATTTAATAATAAATAATGATAAAATTACGAAAAAAATATTCACATTCGTCATAAAACCTTAACCCAATATATAATAATAACCCAATTAAGGGAGGCAGATACAAATTAAACTGTTAAGGCTGATTATTTAAAATTCTGTATTAATTTGTTTTAAAATAGTTTCTTGCTCAGTATATTGTTGTCTTATTTATATTAAAGATAAATTTTATTATATTGACACATAAAGTTTGAACATCATCGTGTGTCTAATATCATAACAAAATAACTGGTAATATTACTCGTATAGCAATAAATAATCCTCGAAATAGTTTACCTGCCAAATATTTAAACGAAGTCAAGACGAACTTTATTCAGTGTTATCTGACAAGTGCTGCTAGAAGTTAATATAACAATGGCGGTGATTAAAGTAAGTTAATTTGTCATCGTCTTTAACTTTTGCTTAAAATTTACACGTGTATCACTTGGAAGGAAGTCCTATACTTATAATTTACAATAAATAATAATTCCAAATAATGTTTTCAAAATCATAATACTTAAGTAATTTTGTACCAATAATGTAATGAAAGAATATTGTAATATTTTCCGTCATCTTTGTTACAGACAATCCTTTCAATAGTCGCTATCTCATTACTTTTAGTTAATGTGGTAGCTAGCCATAGTGATTTCGGTTACGGAGGAGGGTATGGTGGACACGACTCCTATGGTCACGGAAGCTACGGGCATGGTGGATATGGAGGAGGATACAATCAAGGCGGCTTTGGACAAGGAGGGTATGGTCATGGCGGGTATGGTCATGGCGGGTATGGTCATGGCGGGTATGGTCAATACGGGCATGGTCAATATGGACACGGTAATGGCGGCTTTGGACAAGGAGGATTCGGATTTGGAGGTGGTTACGGACGTTAATATATTAAATTAAAACATAAAAAAAGTGTATATGTGTGTATCAATTAAATCTTAAGTTTGTCTAGCTTTGCCTTTTTTATAATGTTGTAGCACCTTGTCCTGGGAAATTGGCAAAAGTAAAACGACCACCGGAAAGATATTGCGATAGCATACGTAGTAACATCGACCCAAAATACATGGCGAATCTTGAACCTCTTATGATGAAATTTGGATTCTCCTCCCTTGGGATTGGCAGGCTCGCTTTTTGTTTATCTTTTCCTTTATCTAGTGACATATTTAGAGTTCGGAGAATGTTAGTATAAAATCCAGGTGGTTGATTAACTGGAGGTAATATAAGTGCTATACTCGTAGGTAATGTGGTAGTATTTTCAGTTGATGCAGATGGTACTTTTTGCTCACCTTGTATAGCAGAGAACGGATGAACTGGCTGTATAACTTCATCAGACGGTTCCACAACAGGAGTCATTACAACATTTTCAACCACATCTGGAGGAGGCTTTTCAGAACTTACTAAGGGCTGAACAGTTGACAAAACAACAACACTCTGCACCGGTAGTGGAAGAGATGTAACAGATTCTACCTTCAAAGGAAGTACTTGTGATTCTTCTTTAATATTAGAAGGTGGAAGAATCATACCATTTAAATCCCTTTTTTCAATTTTATGTTTTATTCCAAACAACTTAAATTTTCCGAATTTAGACCACTTTTCAAAAATTAACTCTAAAGATTTCAACGGAGTAGGACTAAACTCAATTTCAAAATGTTTCTTGAAATTTATTCCAGGTAACGGTTTTACATAAACAAATTGTAAACTTAAGAATAATACTGCCATCTGTAAAAAATAACACTATTTTAATAACTTTTTCCACCTATTATCAAATTATTAAAGGTTCTTACGTCAAATATGTAATACCTCAGCAAAATATTTCATTTTTCACCAATGAACTAAAACGATTGAAAATCAAAATAAGAATGAATGTTGGATAAAAATATCTTTTTATTTAAATTTACTAATAATCTAAACAATGATAATAATGGCCAGTATTAAAATGGCCTTAACCAGAACACGCTAGGACATTTCAGACTTCAATAACTAGGACAAGGTATCGTATACAACATTTTTATAATTTTTAACACTAAGGGAAAACAGCCAATAATGTAGACGAATAAGTAATGGGTGATTCGAGTTTGAACCCTAAGCCGGTGGCAAGTAGTTTCTATAAAAAAAATTAAAACAGTATTAATAACAGCGAACTTTACACGTTGTATTTCCATGTCAATTACATATATACGGCATGATGTGTAATGATGTTGATACTGGATACGATTCCGTCTTCGCTCTTAACTCATAGGTATTACATCAGACCTGGGCAAATTAAGACGACGAATTGATTGCTTCTAAGTTATTTTGTGTACCTATGACGGTAGGTACATTAATACAATAAATATTTCGTGCGTACTGAAGAACTTTAATCTTAATTGAAAGTCGTCACCGTAACCCAAAAAGGACCGAAGTTGTTCAACCATGTCGCTTCAACCTATTGAGCTGGAGGGTTATTTGACTATTTTCTTTTATTTTATTTAACAAGTACACTTACAATACACGTATATGACAATCACAAAAATAAACACATTTCTATACTCTCTGATATGTATATCTATAACAAGTTTACATAACATTCACAAATTGAGTCGTGCAATTTTGGGTTAATTTTGAGTACAAATATCATCCGATCAATACAATGAAATTTGAACTATTCAAATAAATTATGAACTTAAGAAAAATCTAAAGATAAAAAAACAGGTTTAATTATTAAAAGGGAATATGGTAGATATTATACTCTCTTCAGGAGTATGTAAACTCATTTTTGATTTTGTAAACTCATATTTGATGACTATGATAAACTCATATTTTTACAAAAAATAAATTAACCTTCATGATATTTAAAAAAATAAAAGTAGATTGTCAACATACTTTAAAACGTCTTGCTTCGAGAATACGTAATAAGATCGAAACAATGTGAAGTTTTCGAAAGCGAAATAACTGGTTATGTAAACACGTTTGGAATATCAATTCGTCACCTCCCAGCACAGATTCCTTTGCAGACACTTATTAATGAACTCCACCTACAATCCAAGTTTCGCATACTAACTAAACTAGCCTAATGCTTATATGATAGTGCTTTTGATATTAGTGAATAATATATTATGTATATGTCAGCAGCAAGAATATGGGCAGCAAAAATTATATACTCTTTTCATATTTTTTGACACTAGAATAACATTATACACTGTCGTAGTAGCTGCATATTTACTGATAAATTAAAAAACTAAATCTTGGATATCAACCTAAATATTTTTATTCATAAAAATGCTATTATCGTGATACTCTAGCGGTAATTCTCTCAAAGGATTCATTCCTTTGTCACTCAGTATTACAATGACGTTAAAAAGAGTAAAAACCCCAAAATTATTTCGTACTTTTGGCCACTACTTTTAGTAACACAGTTTGTTAACAAGTAACAGTTTTAATTGATTTACTAAATACAAAATAAAGTAAGAACCATTTGAATAAAAAACATATACAGGTCAAAATTGATACAGAAGTCTGACAAAGTACATACGTAGAGTTTGCGTGTACAGCGAAAACTGGATATTGGACCAGAGGCAATGCAAACTACGAACATTTTACTATCTTACTTCTAAATTAAGATTTACTTCCGTATCGAGGAAACATAATATATAAAATTAAGTAGATGTGGTCGACCGCCGAGGCATACGTTCTGATCCATCCACGCTGTATTGGATTCGTTTCTTGCAAGTTTCAAGCGAATTTTTTCTGGTTATTTTTTATAAACACCAAAAAACAGATTGGTAACAATTTTAATTGATTTACTAAATACAATATTATTAAATAAGAACCATTAATATATAAAAAATATACGTGTTAGATTTCAAAGTTGCTTAATTAAAAAAAAGTTATCCCTAAAAAAGCGGTCTAGGTGCGACCCGAAAGGTCCACACGACTAACTTCCCAGTGGAAAGAATAAAAAATATCATATGTTTTAATATTTTAAACGATTTTTCATTCGGCACAAAAAACGACTTGACCGATTTTGCTCAAAATTTAATGAGGTCTAAGTTACATAATTATGCGTTAAATGAAACTGCTCCCATGTCAATATCGCTCTTTGTTCTCGAGATACACGAGGCGAAAATTGAATCCGAACATACATACATATACGTACATGTGCACACACGGACATCCTCTTAAAAACCATACTATTCGACTCTAAAGGCCTTGAAACGTGGAGATATGTTAAAATTTCCAATTTGCAAAATCGGACCCATTACAATAACTTCCCACTGGGAAGTTAACTAGAATTTTCTCTTACTTCGTGAAAGCTTTTTTACATACATAAATTTCACATGGACGTACATCGAGACTCTGACAATTATTTTTAGGCCATTTAAATATTTTTCCACGCGGGATTCGAACACGTAGACCCACAGTGCCGTAGCTAAACGCCACGACTGGCTACTGCGCTACCGAGCCGTTGTACAATCATCATTCACCGCCAACTTTTTCTCGCACAAACTTATAGATGAACAGAAAGAAGGTAGGATTGGTGCTAAATGATAGAGAAATTCAACGACGGCTAGGAAAAAAGCTTTTACAATATAAACTGGCGATGAATGTGTCTACATAACTATGAGATCGAAACAAAGTGACCACGGTAACTACTTATTTACTTAGGCTACATATTTACTACCGTAGGATGTTTGTCACAGTATTTTTTTGCTGTTTGCTCGTTTGTCACCCTTAATCGTATATAAAATTTCTTTACATAAACAAGTAGTACGACAAAAAAATTTGTACAACCGACTTCAATATAAATAAAATGAGATCATCGTCAATGTAATCTAAGTCAATTAAATACGATAAATAGGAAATATAATTGATTACATCAAAACCTTAACCTTACAGCCCAGTATATTTATGAAAGCAATCACTAAAATTAATTTAGCCACATTTTAATACATAAAAATTGAACTCTATAACAGTCTTATATCGCTATGCATGTAAATTTAAAATTGCGTAATTATTTCTTTCACTACTGATGGAAAGTTACGCTGGTAGTCACATTGGAGGCATCGCGTGCAACCGTTCGCAAAGGACGCAGTGTAAGGTTGACTAGTATATACCAATGTCAGGCAAGCGTCGTAAAGACAGTAGTGCTCTGTGAAATTATGAAAGTGCATAAAATATTGCATCGTCGTTGCGTGATTTTGGATTAATAACTACACTTATAATGATATGGTAAGAAACAAGATTTTTTTAATTTATCAAACTAATTCTATTAAGGTTTCAATCAAATTATACCATCATTTAAGTTAAATTATATTAAATACCATTTAACGAACCGATAAGTATCTACCTGCATCTCTTCAAAATTACTTACATCGCTTTCAATTGATAAAAGTGACCAATACGTATTTTATAGTTTTTTTAGTAGTTTATATAATAATAATAAAGCTATTTATTCCATATCTTCACTTTCTTTTTACATTTCTGTATTTTTTAGTAATAGTTTAAAATTATGAAAGAAATACTTATGATAAATGTTAATATTGTTTATGAGATATGGACCCCTGTTTGGGTAAAAGCCTCCTCCGTCCTTTTCCATGACTCCCTGTCCTTGCCTAACTTCATCCAGTCGTTTCCTGCGACGTATGTTATGTCATCAGCCCACCGTCTTAGTAGTTTATATAAAATGTTCTCAGTAGTTTATATAAAATGTATTTATTCACTACTGTTGCTTGGGGAACGCAGCTAAATTATTAACAAACATTTTAACAAACTGATTAGATAAGTATAAAAAACTAGAAAGTGAAATTATTCTACGCTACAGAGAGATTTTTTTTAACTTTTGTGACATGGAAGTGAATAAAAAGAGCAATAATGAATATTATGTAACTTCGAAGAATTCATTTTAATAAATCTTTAAAATTAGCTTATTTAAAAAACAAGATTATTTGTAATTAATGTTTATAAACCATGAAGAACCCGAAGATGTATAAAGTATCAAATTAATTTTAGCTTGTATTTTTGGGCATGAATACGACAAGATTTATCGATTTTAGTAACATTGAGTAAATTTCGTATTTTCTTAAGGGGAAATATAACCTCAAATGGCTTAGCAAGATCCTCCGTTATGCCGAAAGTATTGCAGCATTAATTTTGAAATAAATATATGGTAAGGTTGAGGATTAATGTTAAGGATTATGTTAGACGAAAACACGATTCCGTAAAATTTTCTCGATAGAAAAAAAAATCCAAAGTTACCTCCAAACTGAACCACAGCTAGTCATGGACCTAGCTTCCTCCCGCCTTTTTTTTATAGAAGAGCCTGCGGGATTTTCTCTCACCTGATGGTAAGTGACTACCGCCGCCCATAAACAACCGCAACACCAAGGGAATTGCAGGTGTGTTGATGGCATTTTAGAAAGGAGTAAGCTCTTTTCTTGAAGGTCCCTAAATCGTATCGGTCCGGAAAAATCGTCGGTGGTAAACAATTCTACAGAGAAGTTGTACGAGGAAGAAAACTCCTAGTAAAACGCGCAATGATGGACCGCCAAGCATCCAGATGGTGATGATGGTATAGTGAAATTTGACGCGATATGCGTTAGTGAAATTTGGCTTCTGGAACTAATCCAAACAATTCTTCAGAACACTCCCCGTAGTACGTGGTGGATGCAACATACCTACGCAGCGCCAGTGAATCGAGCCGATCGGAAATAACTCGGTCGTCGACGATTCGAATCGCTCTGCGCTGGATGTGGTCAAGTGGAAGGAGCTGACACTGCAGTGCCCCGATCCAAAAATTGGTATAGTAGCCCATAAATAGTATTCCATGTGAGGCCGAACTT